GGGCGGGGTGGCATGTGGGCAGGGGCCGGGGCCGCCTGCGTCGCAGTGGCCGGCCTCGTTCAACAATCAAGCCACTGCGACACAGGCGGCTCTGCAGCACCCCCGGGCCCCCACTCCACACAGAGGGGCCGGCGGCAAGGGGAGCGCAAAGGGAGACAGCTGCGTCGGGCGCGTGCCTGTCCCGGGGCAACGTTTGTGATCATTGCCCGGCCCCACAAACCCTCGGGAACTCCGAACCCCGACCCGCCCCCCGCAGGCTGCCGTGCTGGTTCGCGCTGCGGCTGTTCGGCTCCTCCATGGGCAGCTTCGAGCGCGGCGCCTGCCACGGGCTCATCCCCGTGACGCTGCTGCTGTCGGCGTTTGGGTTTGTGTGCTCAGTCAGCACGCTCATTCGCCAGATCCGGGAGGGCGGCTCCGCATTTGGCCCCCCGGTCTGATGCGGACGAATCCGAGGCCGCGCGCGCCGACGGGCGCGGCGCGCGCGCGCAGGCGCGCGCCGCTGCCCCATGAGAGCGGCGCGCGGCCGTTGCAGCACGCGGGCGGGGGGACGGGGCCGGCTCCTAACGGATTGAACGCCGGCGGCCGCCCCCACGCGCGGCTCGGGCGCCGCGCCCCCGCCCGGCCGTCCGGCACGGGCGGAGGTTGAGCTTGCTGATGGCGCGGCGCGCGGCGCCGCATTGCTTTTGAAAAGGGCGGCCCGATCCCTCGGCTGCGGGCCCCAGTTGCGCCGGGCGCGCGCGCGCGCGCGCGGGGCCGGCGGCCCCCAGGCACATGGACTGCTTGCGAGTTGTTTCGTCTTCGAGCCTCGCATCTTGATTGCTCCCGCCCCAGCCGCGGGAGGGCCTGGGTCGAAGGCTGTGGTGCCAAGTGGGCGGCCGCCAGCCCGCCCGCGGCACCCCAGCGCCCATGCGCCCCCCTTGCCCTGCGGTTTGGCAGCCGCTGCGCGCGAAGCTCAGCCCCGCGTTTCCTGCGCTCTGTTGAGGCGCTTGGCATGCGGCCGCGGGCGTGCTGTGCGGCCCGCGGCGCTATTGTTAAGGCTGCGGCGCCGGCCCCCGCGAGCCCCCCGCGAATCAGCAAGCCGGCTTGCGAGAATTTACCGGTCAAACCGCGAGAATGGAACTGCAAAACGAGCGCCTGCGCAAGGCTGCCGCCGCGCGCCGCCCGCGCACCCGTGTCTGTACCCGCAGCGCACCCACCGTCCTCCACACAGCGCGCAACGCGTGCTGCGAGCGCGAACTCCCCCTTGAGCTGCTCGCGGCTGCATGCTTGGCCCCCGCCCCTGGCCCACCCTCACTCGCGGCGCCGCGGGCCCCACCCGTGCGCGCCGCCAGCGGTAAGCAGCGGGTGTCGCCCCACGCCTGGGCGCCGCGGCGCGCACATCGGGTGCCCGCCCGCCGCCTGGCGCCCGCCGGGCGCCGGGCTGCCGGGTGCGGCACAGTGCGGTGTCGTCGCGGTTTGGGTGGCGGTGCGCCTCAAGGGGCAGAGATGCGCGCAACAACAAGAATTGAACCAACCCATCTATAGCAGAGTCCATTGAGTTGCTTGTAAACGGCCTGCTTCACTGGCAGTTGAAGGTTTCAACCACCCAAGCGTCAGCCCGCAAGGGCACGGCGCGTCGATGCGCCCACCAGGGCACACAACGGCTCAGCAGCCGCGCTGGAGGGGGGAAAGGCAGGCTAGCCGCTGCTCGCCCCTGTGCATCGGACGTCCCCTGCTGCTTGACTCGGTGACGGGGCTCAGGGGACAGCCCCTCTCACTCTCCGGCTGGCGTGCCGCTGTCGTGGCGTGCAGCGTCCCCTGTCGTCGCAGCAGCAGAACCCTTGTGAGCTCGCAGCGTCGGCATTGCTATACATCGTGTTACACACCATCCACCATCCGGCCGACCTGGGCCGCGGCGCGGTGGGGCAGATGGGCACAGCACTGGGCCGAAGCTAGGCGATTGTCTGTACTGGCAAGATGCGGCCCTTGTGAAATGAATAGATTGTTTCAGGAGGGGGAGGAGGGGAGGCTTGCATGGTGCCCGCCCCAGCAGCCGGTGCCTGCCTGAGCGCGGCCGCCCGGCTGTGCCAACACGCGCGGGGCGGCGAGCTGCGGACGCAGCTGGCGGGCTGAGAGGGCGCGCGCCAACAGCCCTCCCCATTGACTTTGAAAAAAAGCGTTGAGGCCGTGTGGACTGCGGAACATCGGACACCCCAGGAACCCGACAATTTGCTACCCAGCGGCACAGCGGCGCCAGTCTGAAATGCCAGCGTGCTGCCGATACAGGTGTGTGTGTGTGCAGAGGCGCGTGCCGATGACGCCCGCCGCACACCCCGCCGGCGCGTGCGGGGCCGGCCGGCGGGCGACGGCGGGCAGCGGCGCGGCGCCACGGGGCGGTGCGCCCCACTCGCTCCTTCGAGCCGCACAGGGCAATTGAATCGGGGCGCGCTACGGGCGCTGAGGCACCCAGGGCGCCCCGCCGCGGCCCCGTGGCACGTTGAGGGGGAGTGGTGAGCGGTGTGCGGCGCGGCGTGGCAGGGGCGCGCGAGGGTGGGAGAACCGAGTAGGTACTCTGCGCGCGCACATGGTGCCTGCCTTGGCCCGCCGGGGCCACTAATACCTGACAAACCCTCCTCATGCGGCGCCGGGATGGGAATGACGTCACTATGACGTCGCCGAGGCCGCCGCGAGCGCGTGATGCTCTACTATCAAGAAGCCTGCTCAAATCACCGTTCAATCGCGAGAAGGGACGTGCGCAAATCGGCGCTCGAAAGTCCGCGCTTGTTGTTCAGCCGCCGGGCGCCGCGCGGGCGCGGGCGACGTGCGCGCGCGCGGCCGGCGCGCGGCGGGGGGCTCGCCCGCAGAGGCGGCCCCAGGGCGCGCGCGAGGCGCGCCCCTCTGCCAGGCATCTCTCCCAGGTGTTTTCTTCGTAATGCAGCGGGCCAACGCGGGGCGCCCATGCAAGAACCAATCGGTGGGGCCGCGCGGTCAACAGCGAGGGGCAACGCTGTCAGGATTCCCGGCGCCCGCTGTCTTTCTTTGCCCTTGTCCCCGTGCAGGCGCATGCATGCGTGCGTCTGTGTATGTACAATCCAAGCCATCCGCCGCCCGATCAACCGCAACGCCGCGTCTCGACGCCTCCGAATACGATCCCAGCCGCTCCCCCAGCAACACGCTGCCCCGCGCTCAATCTAGCCCCCGCCGGCCGCACGGACGGGCGCGCCGAGCGCGCGGCGCGCGCCGCGTCACGGGCAAGCGCCCCCGCGCTAGGCCCCCTCACTCCTCCTTGGCGCCCTCGGGGCGGCACATGGAGCGGAACCACAGGGTCCCGCTGCCCGGCGCGTCGGGCGCGACGTAGTGGCAGGTGGCGCTCTCCTCCCACAGCGCCCGCATGATGGGGCGGGTGTCGCGGCAGTAGTAGGCGCCCAGGATGGGGCGCAGGGCCTTGGTTGCTTCCTAAAGGGTGGGTGGGGGGCGGCGCGCGGCGGTTGGATGGGCGGGGCATGGTCGTTGTCAGGCGGCCGGGCGGCTGGGGGTGTGGATGCGGCCCGTGCAGCGGGGCCCAGGCAGAGGAGACGATGCGGGGGTGCTGACGGGGCAGGCGGCGGTTTGGCTGCGCGGTCGACGCGGCGGCGCTCAGCACATGGACGCGCTGTCGCGCAACGACATGCACACACGCCCCATGGACATACACTCCCATGCACACGCGCGGGCCTGCCGCGGCACACGTGCTCACACCCTGACAGCACGTGAAACATCAACACAGACACAGACACACCTGCAAAAATCACGCATACGCAGACGCACACAGACACAGACACGAAAATGCACACCATCACTCACACTGTGCAAAGCACAACGACACACACACACACACACACACACACACACACACACCGCACACGCCCACCTCTGCATGGTAGTGGGGCATGGTGCTGAAGAGGTGGTGAGCGACATGAGTGTCAGCAATGTGGTGGAAGAAGTGATCCAGGATGCCATAGCTGGGGGGGAAAAGGGGAGGGGGGAGAGGAGGAGGGGAGGCGTTTTTCGAAGGCAGGTTGGCGGAGTGGGCGGCTGGTGGCCCGACAGGCAGCCTGCAAACGCAGTAGACAGCCTGAGGGGGAGCCCACAGCTCTGAGTAGCGTCAGCCTGCAGGCTCGCGGTGGGGCGGCGCGCCGTCGCCGGTGCTGGCCTCGTGCGGCGCGCCGGCGGCGGCCCCACTGCAGGGGGCGCCTCAGGCCTGCCCCGCACCAGAGGCGCCGCGCCGCCGCACTCACGGCCGCGCCCCCTCCTCCCCCGCCTGGCGCGCCCCTCCCCACCTGCGGTCCACGGTGGCGAGCGCCCCCCGCAGCCAGTCCCAGTCCTGGTCGTCGTAGTGGGGCAGCCCCGGGTGCGTGTGCTGCAGGAACGTGATGCACACCAGCCAGAAGTTGACCACCAGGTATGGCACAACGTAGGTCTTGACCAGCCAGGGCCAGCCGAACGTGACTGCGTGCAACAGAGGGTGCAAGGCGAGAGTGCGTTTGCTAGAACCCAGGGCACCGAGGAGGGGGGGTGGTTTGGGGGGTGGGGGGCTGAGGGGACGTGCGAGGCGGCGGGCCGCGCCGCGCCGCAGCCGCCGATTTCGGCGGCCCCGCCCGGCGCTACCGAGGTTGCGCCCAGGCGCGGGCGCGCGCCCCCGGGGATTGTCGGGCTCCACCCCTCCCCCTCCCTCTCTAGGGTCTCCCTGCGGCGGCGCTTCTCACGTCCGAGGTTGTAGAGGCCGTAGATCACGACCGCCAGCGCCGCGTCCGACACGGCGACCTCGATGCGCTCCCTCTTCGTGAAAATAGGGCTCCACGGGTCGAAGTGGCACGTGAAGCGCGAGTACTCGCGGCCGGCGGCGTTGAATGCGAGGTAGCCGGGCCAGCCGAGGAGCTGCTGCACGACGAGCAGCGCGGCGCGGTAGACGGCCGAGCCGTTGAAGGGCACCTGGCTCTCGTCGGTGGCCGGGACGAAGACCTGCGGTGCAGTGTGGTGCGGTGCGGTGTGGTGTGGGGCGATCCGGGTCCCCGTGTGCGGGAGCAATGAAGCTCTCGGGGTGGAGTTTGCAGTTTGACTTTACAGGGTTGCAGCGGAGTGGGTGGGGAGGCCGCGGTGGAGCCAGAGGGCAAGGAGAGAGGGGGGGGAGGCGTCGGTGCACGGGGAAGGGTTCTGGCGGAGCGGGGATGGGGGTGTGGGGTGGGGGTCTGAGAGAGAGCAGGAGGCTGGCGTGGTTGCTGCGTCGCCGCGCTGCCCGTCGGCTCAAGACGGCAGGCCGCCGCAAAGTGCGACGAGGTAAGGGTGGGTTGAGAGGAGGGGGCAAGGGCGCACCTCGTCGCGGGTGATGGAGCCGGTGTTGCTGTGGTGGCGGCGGTGGGAGTGCTTCCTGGCAACGGATTGGGGGCGGGGGGG